TAAAGCATTCAAATAAATGATTCAATCTGTCACCTGTGGTCATAAAGCATTCAAATAAATGATTCAATCTGTCACCTGTGGTCATAAAGCATTCAAATAAATGATTCAATCTTTGCTTGTTATCTTAGGTGTAATGTACAACACAGGAAATGTTTGCACATATAAATGGGTAATTCCAGAAATTAGGGTTCCATGTTTTTTTGTGTCCCTGTCCCATCTGACGTATGATTTTGTACGTTCAGAACACATTTTCTCATTTCCAAAGAGTGATGAATTCGAAAAATTACCTGCCAAACAAAAAGTAACAATTTGAAATCAATTCTGGTGATATTTCCATGCCCAATAACAAAGGTCAGATGTAACAGGGACACAAAAATGTCACACTTTTGGACCCCTAATTTCTGGAATGACCCAAATAGTGGTAATAATGTTAAAATTGGGGGGAAAACCTGAAACCAGATTGCATACATTTCTGGAGAACTAACAAAGTAAAAGTTCTGAGGACATCAGGTGAAAAGAAAATGTTCGCACCTGCAGATCCTGTCCAAATTTGGCCCCAATTTCTTGTATCCATTGATTCCTCCCATCAGCTGCTTTTGGGAAAGGATGGAAGGACAGACTCGTTGTCTGATTATAGCGGAAATCATTACGACAGTTTGGAATACAACATTTGTCCATTGGTGCAATTGGCAGATGCTGGACATTGCCATTGTAGGAAAAGACACTAGGGACATAATCTGGATCATTAGGATCATCCGAAGCTGCACCTGTAAGAATGAAGAATGGAGAACTTAGTCTTGATAGCCTTATTAGAACATGGTTAGCAGGTTCAACCACCTTTGGATTAACATGCATAGTTTACTTGGGGTTGAGGGGGGTCTATCCATTGGATTTCTAATCTAAAATTCCAAACAATTCACTTGTAACTTGTGAAAATACAACCATGCGAGTTTCAATAATTTCACACATGCTGTAATTTTTATACCTGATATCTACATGTATCGATACAAAATGCAAAGTCCAATGACTGAGGGCGCATCTTCAATTTCAATCATATTAGGCCTAATTACATTAATAATATTAACATGCAGCATCATCAAACTCTTTGCGGATGAATTTATGGAGTGGAAGAAGTAAAATTGAATGCAGAGCAAAATGAGACCTTCCATAGACGGTATGTAAACCTTCTCCCAACTCAACACTACGCCCCTAGCACGACAAGCATGACAAGCAGTACAGTAGCTCACTGAAGACGATGCAGACGCTTGTCGCAGTTGTCTTGAAATTGAATATGCGTGCTATATGCCTGCACTGGATAATTAATCAGTTTACACATACAGTACCAACCTGATATGAAATGTGCACTGCAGATTCGAGCGCATTCAGGTAATTTTTTCCGACAGAGTGCCTGTAACCACAGTCGTCTTTTCTCGAGCTTCTGCGGCGAATTTCCCCAAGGAATCCGGTAAAAATGCAACTCCCGCCGGTTGGTGCTTTTCTTTTTTTTGTCTGTCCATCGCCTGTTCTTGCAGCCAACGGCACTGCATGTATCTGGCATGCTCAAGAAATCTTGACTATATTGAACCTGAAATTCGAGGTAAAATTGAAGTACATGTACGAGCCTTTACACACCGATGTATATGAAACGAGGATTAATGTTGATATTAATTATGCCTGCCGGAAGCGCGAATCGCTGTAGAAGCCCGCCCTCTATCATCCCTACATCGTCACCGAAACCTTCATTCACGTTCAGGTTCACCATTTTTCCCGGAGAGTGGAGGGGGAGTCCCTAAAAGTAACTTGAATGCTTGTCGAATAGGGACCAGGCTTACGTAAATGCATGTACAAATAATCACATTCACATGGACATTGCATAAGACACAGACATAGGGGACCTCCTAGCATATTTTTAAGACAATAATTAGAAAAATTAGAAAAAAGACGTGAATGGAACCTGTGGGACCAGTAATATTCATTGCTCGTCATGTGCAAGATGAAAACAGACAAAATACATGAATCTAGAGAGAACATAAAGTGGCGGAAATCTAGACGGTTGATGATTTTGAATTTGGTGTCTGGTCAATGAAAATGCGCAGAAAAATACTAAAAAGCGCCACCACTGACGCTCTTGGAATTCGGAAAGGCTTGTTTCTCAGTGCCTCTTGTATACGGCGATTTAAATGCTCACAAATTGCCTTGCCAATGGAAACTGTCTCATTGTGGCGGAGATCTTACTTTTACCTATCCATTAAAGGTAAAGCTGTGAGGGAGAAGCGTTTGATTTTTCTTTCTTGGGTATCTTTCACTGCAATAATGTCGAGAAATGACGAGTCATACAAATAAGAACACTAACTCGTAAAAAATGTAAAAAAAAAAAAAAAAAAGAGTCTGGTAGCGGGATGAATAGCCAGCATTTCAATGGATCAAGCGCATTTAATCATGCCAACAAAATATCACTCGTTTTTATGCGGCTTTGTGCAAAATATAAGCTCAACAAGATGCTGGTAGCGCGCATCGTAATGTTTTATGACCGATCTTGAGGATAATTTGCATATCTTGCATGAATGAAGATTGGTTGGTTTTACATCAAAGCAAGAAAAAACGTCATCATGTAATTTTGATACACCTTGAATACAAGCTGAAGTTAATTTAGCAGCTTTCCCAAAGATCAAATTGTAAAGTATAATTGTAAATGCATAAATCTGGATAACCTTAGCGAGCATGGACCATATCTTCGAAATTTTTGAACAAATTGAGGCCATAGCTACGAAAAATGCACTTAGACAGCAACCTTTCTCACTTTAAAAAAATTCACGGTTCAGTGGTAAAACCGGCGTTGTCACATGATAACCAGGTAATAACCTCTGTGAAACAGTTAGCGCCATCGGTGCGTACATGTAAAGCGGCCGGCCAGACACAGTGCGTTGCGACATAATATTCCTGAATCTGCACGTCGACTGTCCAATTCACAAGCAGTCGGGCGAAAAAAGCAACACCATGGCACCTGCTACGACGGATAATTTGTTAGTCGAACCCGACACGGGATTTTGGGGACCGAGAACATCCACCCTTGATTGGTGTGAGCGAAATTATGCCACAACAACCTATATTGCAGAGTTCTGTAAGTGACTGACAACCCTGTTCTTTGTTTTTTTTTAAGTTCTGCTTGGTTTAACTTTAGCAAGCGCAATCAAAACACTCAAACGTACGTTACTGAAAACAAATTGAATTAATCTGGAAACCATAGTCTGTTTTATATATATAACTAAATTCCGTGAAGGAAGAATGTGCAACTGAGCCTTATAATTGTAGCACATCATGTTATCAATGTGTTGAATTATACTCTCAATGTAGATCAATGCGATAAAATTTGTATAGTAAAGGCACACACACAACAGCATAGTAAATCAATCGTTTATACCAGTACAATACTACAAACGCAGCAAGGATTTGTTTAGGTGTCTGCGGAGTAACAGCTGGCTTTGTTTCATCCCATTTGGCCAGTTGAGTGAGAGTTTTACCGTGAGATTCACAGATGAATTAAATATTATGACTAAAACGCGCCGTCGAAATTCTGCAAATATCGCTAAGCAATAATGGTATTTTCTGTGTGTTACTGGTCTTATGTTAAATCAACGTTATAATAGATAAACTGCTGAACGTGCTAAACGGAACCAACACTGTGGAAGCGACAAATGGAATGTTTAAACCATGTAGAAAGTTATTCAGATCCTCTTTGTGAAATTATTAAGATATGAAATCATACCATTGAAGTCTATTTGAAGTTTATTGGAAAGTTCTCTGTGTCATGGAATGTTTGAATGACAGGCTGAAGTCACTTGTTATCTCTCCGTCGCGCTGGAGTCTGCGAGAAAAGTGCCGTCATTAAGTCTTCAAAACTGTCAGGTTTTATTAATCTGGGACAGAATCATCGGGTCTACATTGTCAGTCTTGTAGCCATCTAATCGTTCCAACTCTCGGTTGTTCAACTTTCAAAATGCAGCCAGTTAGGACTGATTAGATCGTGCAGTGGTTCGTCTATAATCACTGATACATGTCAACCATGCACATTGTGACTTGCTGTCAATAATCGAGTAGAAATTTTTGATGATACGTAATCCTGGACTCTCAAAACAATGCCTGTGAAATCAACATCTGTGCTGAACATTATCTGCTTATAAAACTATTCACACTAGATAAGGCGTATCAGTCTATCCACCTCACAATTAGTTTCATATCAACTGAGTCATTTTTGTTTTTGTTTTTTTTCAGGGAACACAATAAGTAACATCGTTTTTATCATTCCTCCGTTGTTTGGTATTGCCTTTGCCTGGAGAGACCGTGTTGACCACAGATTCATCTTCTCCTACGTTGGAGTCATTCGTAATCTCTTGGAGTTTCTCTTTTCTTCCGACTCAGAGCTTTAAAAAAGTCTATTCTTTATTGCAATTATCAAACGTTATCGCTCAGGTTTATTTTTTATATTAGTCAGATACCATCAAATACAGAATTGTAATTACACAAACACAGGACCTGAAACACGTGCTCTGGATGACGTCTGCATAACGTAATCTATTGACCACACACTAACGCACTCGAGAGTAAATGATTTGATTTCGTCAACAAAAATCCCTATATCTCCAAAGAAAGAGGCTATAACATTGGTATCCTGCAATGAAATTGAAGAACATTGGAAAACAACACTCACGTAACTCATTCCAAACTATCCGTCTTTTATAAACTTTTTTTTTCATTTCAGTCATTGGTTTAGGATCATCCAGTTTCCATCTGACTCTTCACATCTTTTCACAGGTTTGTTTGAAGGTGCTTGGTCGCAGCAGAGAAATCTTGAGGTTTCTTGTAAAATGTCTATCGTTTCAATTACAAGTCTGCTTCACAACTTATTTGTAGCGGGAAATATCTGACGATATAATGAAAATACAACTTACACTACAACGCCAATGTAATCACATCAGATTATATGAAATACCTGGATCTTTTCGCTGAAATCCGGTTGTAATATTCATTTATTGCTTCTACGACCTTGGCTACAAGTTAGTGTCTTATAAAGACTTCGCTGTTTTTTTATTTTCTTGAAAAAAAATGAGAGCAGTGCGAATGCAGTTTTTTATTCTTTTGCTACACTGTCTTCAGATGCTGGATGAAATGTCAATGCTGTGGGCGACATCTTTCTTTCTTTACTGCTTGTAAGTTATATTTGGCTGATGATTACACATATAATTTATATAAAAATATCATTTTTATTAGTACTGACAAAAGACAAGCACAATGATTAATTATGCAGTGCCTCTGTACCTCATTTCCAAACATTAAGAGACGAACAAACAAGTAAGTCAAAATTTATCAAAGAAATCCAACTAACAAGAATTCTACTGTTGTGATTCTTTTGTTTTCTTCGTCAGGATGGAAACTCACTCGAAGCCAAGAAGCAACAATGGCAGCCTTATTCAGATCCTTTACATTTATAACGCCTTTGCTAGTCTCTCCTACATCATAATGCAAGAGCCCTTATTTTTTCAGGTAAGACATTTCGAATTAGAAAAACTTCCCAAGATGCAGGTATCAAAATAAGAAGAATTTCAACCGTGTCATGAGAAATTCATGAAGTTGTTGCTGCCAACAGAATATTGTCTTATATCAAACCTTGTCTCTAAGATAAATCGTCATTTCTTTTGACAAAACTTATCCCCGGGTTGTATAACTCTTCACTTTGTACCCATTAATTCTCTCCTTCAGATTCTTTTTATTTCCACAGGTTGCCTTTGGTACACTAACTGTTATCATGATGGTCCGTGGTTGCTATGTTGCAATGTAAGGCTATGTCTCTTTTTCCTGAATATATTTTCTTATTTTGACTGTGATTTATCCAAAATGGTCAACTGTAAATAATATTTGAAAGCAAGCTGATGTATTTGGAAAAATGGCACATTCCTTTCAGCTATATCGGTTCGGTAAACTTCTCGTTTATAGAAACTTTTTGCTTTCCATGTAAAAATTTACATTTTGGAGCTGCTCACAAATTAAACATAAATGTTAAGAAATGGAAAACATGTACCGAATACAGGTGATTCACAATAGCGCGCCACCAAGAGTTTGCAACGCGTTGGCCAATCACAACGCGCGAAATCTGTCCACCCTTTCCAAACGCGCGATGGTTCGACAGATTTTGCGCATTGTGATTGGCCAACGCGTTGCAAACTCTTAGAGGCGCACAATTGTGCAATGCCCGTATTGGCTCTTGATAAATGAAAGGGTGACGCGTCTCGCAAAAGAAAACCAACTTCTAAACCAGCTTTCTGAACGTTTGTGGACAGTCGATGTGTACGAATTAAAAAGACATTGTCAGCGTTTAGGCCCTAAGGATGATTTTGTTACCACAAACAGGAGTCAAGATTGCTGTCGTTACCTTGTATGGTACCCTATGATCTTGTACTTCACTGCATTTGTGCTGTGGAATATTGACAACCTCTACTGTGAGCACGTGCAGTAAGTCCTAACACGATTTCAACATGTAGGCATTTAGAGAGAAAACAGACATCCCAATAATACCAAGAATTCATTCAAGACCCCCCCCGCTGCTTGAAATCTTTGTGGTGGTCGATTTTTGTTTCAATTAAAGTACTTGTTTAGCGATGCAAGGTTTTAGTATTGCAACTTAGGTGTCCACTCGAGGATATATTAATAGCTTTTATGTGAAGGCTTTATATAATCTGGCTTAGTAATCTGGCTTAGCAGTATGTCTCAACTTGAATTAGTAATTTTCCTATTAATGTTGGTAAAATTTCTTCAAGTTAAATTGGTCAAGCTTAACGTTTACACTGTGTAACAGCTACCGTGGTCATAGCTACTGTGGACGCAAGAAATGAGATACTGAATCTTGTCAAACGTGTATGGCCACGTCTAAAAATTCACCAGGAATACCGTTTCGTATCTCTTGGGGTTTTAATATATGTAAATATTTACAATATCTACAACAATGAATGAATATTCATCTTTGCCCTTGCCCAATCAGACGACTCCGAGATTCTCTACCGTCTCCGCTGTCAGTTTTGACTCAGCTCCACGCTTGGTGGCATGTATTTGTCGGTATAGCATGTCACGCACAGATACAATTCAGGTAATTGCAGTGTGATGTGAAACTCAACATTCCTTACGACAACTCTAATGACCCTTCCAAGTCCCATATCAAGCCCTTGGTTTTTCTTCATTTCAGTGCATATATGAAGTATAACACATCATGGGAAACCACACCGAACCACCTCTGTTAAAATTAAAGTGGCATAAACACGTTTTATTAAACGTGAACCAATCAACCTGGCACCATTCGTGAAGTTTGAGTTCTCAAGGAAAGTTTTCTTTGCAATTTATTTGGTTTCCATAATGATTTGTATATTCCCCTTCACAACAGTTGCCACTCGCGAAGCATATTCTTGAAGAGACACTGCACCATTTGGGTAAGCAAAATGTTACTAATTTGCATTATTACTATGAACAGGTCCGGGAAAGTAATTTAGAATAAATAGTAACTCTTGAGAGTGTAACATGTTATCGTAAACTAACAATTCCCCAAACTACCAAATGTTAGCTCTATAATGTCCTTTATATTTTCGTTAGTATCTGACAACGCTTTTGTACACTTCGCTCACATCTCTCTTTTTTCAGACTTGGTGCGGGTTTCTTCCTTTTCTTGAAATCCACGACGACAAGCAGCCAAGTACTACCAACATCTCTACACAACTAGCAAACCAATCAGGCAAAGAAACAAAGTGCCGCCTGACAAAAGAATTGTGACAACAGGTGGCGCCCTGCATAGCAGCCGTTGAAAAAAAAGTTGCAATTCTGTGCATTGTTCTTATTTTTCATCATGTTATTGTAAGTTACTTTCACCAGCAAACGACCATGCATGTTAACAGAGTTTCAGTTTAATAACTAAATATTAAAGATTGCGTTCAGTCTTATTATCGATGGATTCTGCCCAATAGTATGTACGACAGAGAAGAAAAATTACAACCAAAGATGGGTATGCTATTTACCATAGTTTGTGCACATTATTTGACGCAGATTTTACTTAACATTACAACTGATTTTATATTATGGTTTCCTCGTTAATTTGAACCTGAATATTAAAAAGAAGGTATGAAAGTGTAAATGAGATGTTCGAAAAGAGTACGTGAATAATTCAAACTGGAAGGGGCCTGGCGATGAAAATGGATCGAGCTGAAAGCTCACATAAATAAACTGCACTCGTTCTTTTACAGTGAAAAATTGGTCTGCCCTAGTCACAGAAATCTGATATATTTTATTGAACGACGATGTATGTTTACGGTACATGGACGCTGTTTGTCTATTGCCCGTGTTGACTACTCTGAAGTAAACTTTGCACGCTAACCTACTGACTCCGTTCCTAGGGTTACAATTCTGGCGAACAATGTCAGCTGGTTTGATAACTTTCAGTGGGAAGTCAGTGTTTACTCCGACGGCAGCTAAAAACAAATAACTGTAGGCCTATGGTGGACCTTCACCCCACACGACTGGCATCTGAACGAAACACTGCGAGGCCGAAAGAGACTAGTGGCTTTCAAATGCAACGTGCCAACGTACATGTACCAAACGCCCATCTCCACTATCAAGCTGGGATACGCTTCAGGGTTTTCGTGGGAAAAAATGGCGACGACAGCCATCCTTAACCGACTCGGAGCTGTGCTTTCTGGGAAATGTTACGGAGTTCGTGCGGCTTCCGTTGCTTGCAAGTATGTGTATGCATCAAAGTTAGAGTTGTCGATTGGAACTTAGCTGTAGAGGAGACAGTTTCACCAAACTTAGGAATAATCATTGATGTGAGCTACTATCATAATTTACACACAGCATTCGAAACAGATACCCAGGAAGGTTTGATTTAGTTTTTCCGAGACAGCTTTTCATCTCGATAGGGGAGAGAAAAGAGTGCCAGTGTATTTGTTCAAATCAGGCAGACGTATATGCAAATGAGAAACACCAAGAAAAGCTTAAAATTGCATACAGGACAAAATTCTCCCGAAATTTATCAGAAATTTGATTTTTGGCTTGAACTGTAGGTTTCTTGGCGATGGACCTAACAACTTTACCCAACAAACGAAGGGGATCCGTTGCTCTCCTTACAACGAACAACATCCGGGGAAGTTATCTATCACCACAAGACTTGCAATTCATCGCTATCTCAGCACTGAGACCTCGCAACTTGAAGACGCTGACAACGTCTATTTCGATGGCTTGGTGAAGAGAATAAAGAGTGGAGATATGCAGATGATTGACGTTAGAGACGCCTCTGAGATCAAGGAGTTTGGAACCATCATCAAAGATATCTGTCATATCCCAGGTGAAACTTTTTGGCCCCTTATCCTCTGCAAAAATCATGTAGGCAAAGCTTGGTCTTAATACGACTGTCACTTAAAACCCCATTAACTCCCAAACTATAAACTATGTAGTTCTAACACAGTCTCGGTCAAAATCGTATTCACGTCCTGTATTGGGACCAACTCTAACATTCCTTAATTGGCCCTTTTCGCCTCAGTTTTTGAACAAAATCTGGTACACTGAGTTCTTTAAATTCACATGAAACATAACAATTTGAGTTCTCCATACCAAAGACGATGTTTCGGGGCAAGCCTTTGCTTAGTTGCATAAGAAACGCCTTGCACTAATACACTGAGAAGGGAAAGAGCACAAAGGAACCAGTCCATTAGAGGCGGTGGTCGCTACGCAAATTGCCAAATTGTACCAGATTTTATTGAAATTAAACTCGCAAAAGGCATATTATTTATTCCGACAGTTTTGGACGTGGAGGCTGCACTCCAACTATCAGACGATGAGTTTCGAGCCAAATATGGTCGCACCAAGCCCGAGAAGTCGGATGATAATATTGTCTTCACTTGTAAGAAGGGGATTCGGAGCTTAAAGGCACGAGACACGGCACGAAGCTTGGGCTTCAAAAAGTAAGTGCGCTTATTCGGAAAAAGCCTTTAAAATTAAATTTTAATTTTAAAAGAGGAAATAGTGTCACTGTGAACTTGTTTCTCCCTGTGGGGGCGCTATTTTGGATTTAATTATTGTACAGTCACTTACGTGACCCAAATACGAATCTTACCTGATTAATGTCAACACATCTATTTTTTTTCCATACAGGGCAAGGCATTATCCAGGCGGATGGATGGAATGGGGCAGGAAGAACAATCTGCCTTACCCGAAGGAATAAAGGCAAATGTGTGAGGAAAACGATGCTTCGAAGCAACAAGATATGAAAGGCTATTTTTTTTCCGTGTGTGGTATTAAAAATTGGCTTGTACTCTAAAATCACAAGCTCCTGATATGAAATTATTAATTTGAAACAGACCTTGTAGTTCTTTATGTATAGTGAAATATATGATGGGATATTTCTATTAATCTCCCCAAAAGCTATCTGAATCGCTCTTGTGATCCGATGAAATCTTAACAATATCAGAAATTGAACTGGAAACAATTGAACACCAGAACCACAGGTAACTGAAACCATGGCTTGTTTTTCTCTTTTCGATAGTTTCAATTTAAAAAAAATTGTGTCTTAACTCTTCCGGTATAATATGTGCTTTTTTGAGTATCCAATTTTGTCTCATCAAATCTACTCTTAAATGCAAGCAGATCATAGTAGTAGATTTTGTTGGTTACTTGATCAATCTGCAGAACTTAGTACATGTAGTATGAAGCTGGTAATGAAACGTACAGAAAACGAATTACAACGATTAAAACAAATTCTTATAATAAACCAAAAGGTAAATCAGACATACCGGCAACGCCGGTATATGACTAGAGTTTATACGTCTTTCTTTCCGGATGTCTCTTACAAAACAAAATTAGCAATGAAACTGATATCAAAATTTCGTCTTAAGAAAGGATCCCATGTGAAACCTATAGCAGTAAAATGCTAAATTAGATTTTTCTTTCATTATCTCGTTTGTTAATATTAGTAATTGTCGACTGCACCTACAGATTTTTTGCCGTTGCTTGTAAATCTAGCGTGTTATTGGTTGGGGCGCCCTCTGTTGAATAGCACTTTCAAGTTAAGGCCAAAGGTAAATATCTCCCATGTTTTCTACGTCTCGTAAATTATTCACCTGTACCGAAACTATTTCCTGAATCGGGGTGAATTATCAGGGTTCCTATAGGTCCCATATGCTATGGACTTGAATGCAAACACATCTGTGAATCATCACCACCACTGGCCACTGCCAATACCACCAGCTCTCGTTAATTTTTACATTCAACTTTACTGCCTCGTGCCATTTACATATGACATGTCAGCCCGGGCCAGCTGTGTTTATATATGAAACCCGAATAAGAGCAATCTTCAGCTTGTGCAGGAAAGGTTGTATTCGAGGCTACAAAACCTTCATCTGTGGTTGTTTTAAATAGTGAGTACACACAGTCTCTCTGACAGTAGCGTGGCGTGCAGTTTTTGCATTCACTCATCAGGCCATGTCAGCCGGGAGCCTAGGATCTGGGGATAAAATTGCAGTACTGTTTGTCATACAAACGAAATTGCTGCTACTGAACAGCAATCCGATCCAAAGCTTAGTCCTGAAATGAATGCTTAGTCATCACGTGTGACGGGTGATGCATGACAAATATACATAATTTTGTAATCAGGCTATAGACTTTGTAACTAGACTTGCGCTGTGTAAACAGTGAATCGGAATATTTAGGACACGAAAAACACATTTTGAAAGGCCAACCGACGGTTCTTGTCCGACCACAGCACTTGCCAGAGACAGACACAAATATTTCTGCCTGTTGAGAACACCGAAACTCAGCTTGAGGATATACCCCAAAGACAACGGTGAGTTACCCGAAACAGTAATATTCGTGCAGACTACGGACAATAGGATAGGCTTCACTGAGAAGGGAAGGTCCTTCCACTTTGAGGGCTTATAATATATATGTACTCTGTCCGTTGAGCCAATTTTCTTTCCCATAATGCAACTAGTTTTCTGGCAATTGTCACGGAGCAAATTTTTATGTTCACCAAATCACTCTGTTGAACAAGGCTTTAAGCCCCTGTAGGTACATTGCTGATAGTCATGTAACATTTAAATTGCTTTCTTGAAATAGGACAGATAGGACTGTCTGGACTTCGAAATTTCAAAGAGGGGAGGGGTCACAGGGGATACAGACTTGAAGGGCAGAGGGCGTGTAAGTTACACAGTACGCCATTGAGTTCTTGAGATGAAGCACGCGGAAAATAAGCTCTAACTTGAAGAATGTCCATACATTAACCATCAACGTATCGCGCCGTTTTTTATTGATATATCGATTATCTTCTAGTAACGTTCAATATCGCAATGAGTGCCGAGTCGTCCCAACCACCGCTGGAGGACGAGGACCATGTTTACTATGACGGTTTAGTCCGTCGGATCAAGAGCGGTAACCTTCAACTGATCGAGGTCAGAAATGCCCCGGAACTGGAAGCGACGGGCACAATTATAGAGAACATCTGTCACGTCCCAGGTACGGAAGATTTCTTTAACTGGCTTGTTATATGGTGTTTGTTCTTTTTTTTTTTGGGGGGGGGGTTAGTTTGCTATCGATAATGTCATGCTCGCCACTGGTTTTAATCTGATTTCTGCTCAATGATAAAATTTGCAGGACTAGCAGTATGTTTTGCAGAATGAAATATTTGTGTGGAGGAAGATGCACTTTTTTGGAAGATCAATTTCCAAATAACAGACCAGAATGTGCTTGGAGGCAAACCTGAATGATTTTTCGGGTATCTGCTGAATGTTTCGAATTTTAAAATGTTTAAAGCGAGCGAAAACATTTCTCCTGCTAATCAGTTCCAGAATTGGCCGATGCTCTCCACTTACCAGATGAGGAATTCGAAGCCAGATACGGTCACCGAAAACCCCAAAAGACAGACGATAATGTCGTATTCACTTGTAGGATTGGAAACCGAAGTTTGAAGGCACTCAACATTGCAAGGGAGTTGGGATACACAAAGTAAGACAACGTTCAAGTTCAACACCTTAAACTTTAGCTGGATCGATTTAAAAAAAAGGAACTATACAACATACATGATGAAAGTGAGAAATAATCGATAATTCTAATAGATTGAAGGTGTTCATAAAATTGTTGTATTAAACACGTTTTTACATTATTTTCCATTTCGTACATGCATGTAGTAGTTGTGATCATGTGATCTTGATACACCGTTGATTTTTTTGTTTCAGGGCAAGACATTACCCTGGTGGATGGACAGAATGGGTGAAAAAGAACAAGCTTGCCCTTCCCACAAAATGAGCCCACCTTAACTCAGTCATCGAATTGATGTGTTCATTGCATTTTATAATATATTTGAATGCAAATCTAATTAACGATTTCCCTTAATTAATTCAAAAACCTGTAGAATTATGAAATAAGACACTGAACCAAACAGGTGATTCAGGCTAGTGTGAAACTCACAAGTAAAATAAGGATAAATTTGCTTGTCAATTTTGAAACCCTACATCAACTATGTCGGGAAGCTACAATCATTCAAAGCGTTTTATGAATAAACGTATCGTGTCAAGGTTGAATACATGAAATGTGTGCATAAAGTTGAACAGAGCCAAGCTGATAGATTTATGTAGCAAAGTTTAATTAATTCGAAGGCCATTCACTGATTTTTCACTTCATTGATTTCATAGTTCTAGTCATTAAAATGACAAACTTAAGTAGTCAATGTTTACGACGGCAACTTGTGTTTCTGCATCTACTTACACTCAGACAGTTTTCAAATCATTAAGGGACTTGGACAAATCTAGTAATGGGTAGTGACCCGGTTCAAGCATAATTAGTTCTACCGATGTCAGGCTCAAATGCATACATCGTGCACATTTGTTAACGCACACCCGGTAACTTTTAGGGGCACCCTATGGGACTGGTGGTGTACATGTACAATTAATGCACTTTGGAGGGGATCGTGACGCGTTGATTGCAGGTTGGATCTGAAGAGTTTACGTTTCGACATTATCCAAACTCAGTATCGCGACAGACAACATACTGGGCGTTTTGTCCTAGGTACAATCTGCGTAATATGTCGACTCATTTAAGTGGAAAGATACAAACAGGTAAGTACCACTGCGCAACACGACTGCACACACGTGTATGTATCCATGGAGGTAGGAAAAGTGTAAAACTGGCCAATGAATATTTTTTAGCACTACATAATTAAACTTTTCAAGCTAGATGTTTATTGATCAATGGTTCTCTGAACAGTTTCCCTTCAAGTTTTACAGTACATAACTTAAGCCCGTAACCTAGCTCTGGAATTGTTTTCAGAATGGGGAACTCGAGTCTCAGTGTGCACTCTTCTAAGTACACACAAAGCTTAAAACGTACTGGATACATACTGTAAAGTGAAGGCCAAAGATTGTATAACACCGCTATGGGGAACTCGGCCAAAACGGTGTTATCACCATGGGCCGTGCGGTCGCCATTCAAGCGTGAGCTCAACGGCACAGGCTGTGTTAACATGGCGTATTCCTCCCCAAATGGCGCTCATGCAAGCAACGTTTTACGCGTTTTCACGGTGAATGAATCTTGCGCCGCTGTGCGGCGCTATATGATCTTTGGTACAGTCGCCAATGTTGACACATGAACCCTGACCTAGTCTTCGCGCAAGACGCGACTGTTTTATGGGTTATAATCGGTGAAAGACAACCATATTATACATTGCCATTTTGTTCTGTGTCCAAAACTCAAGCGTTAAGCTACCTAGGAAAAGGTTTAGCTACGGGGCTCAGGAAGTGCCATCTGATCTGCTGAAATGTGACGATCTTAGACGACCTTAACAAGCAATTCCCAGTGCACCAGCTCGCTGTAATGAACATGTCACATGTAGCTGCGTATTTTGGTGGACAAAAGTAACAAGTTAAATATTTTGGTCATTTAAAAAAAGAAGCAGGCGGGGACGAGAGACTAATTTTAAATTTAGCATTTTATTACACAACTTTAATAGGATTTTTAAAATCCAGTGGACCATGAAGAGGATAGTTGAGGACATCTGAGAGTGACAAGTAGCATTGGTTACATTATTTATCTTTGCAGTGCTAGGACCGATAGCTCCAGGTGATCTTGGCATAACTTTGACTCATGAACACCTGAACATCGACTACAAACCATATTTCAAAGAACCACCTGCCAAGTATAAGGACAATATCCAGCTGCCTCTAACCATTGGTAACTTATGGTGGATTCATCGCTACCCGTGAGTTATACTTGAACACTTTCAAAGGGGGCATTTTGATATTTTTTTAAAGTTCAAGTGTGGATGTGTTTTATTTTAGTTTCTATGTTCCAATAGCGACTCTCAGTCAAGTCGATCTAAAATAATATTTCAACCATACTAGTCATGAGCGTCAACAGGATTTTTCCAGGGTTCGAACCATTTTTTTAAGGGACAAAATTTCCCAGGGGGAGCACTCGTTGACTAAGAACTGATAACTAATTAACAGTGGGAGGGGGTCGATATGAAGTTTTTTTTAGTTCATCGTGCAAAGTGGGGATTTGACCTTCTCTCACTTCCCTTTACCCCCTTTTTTCCCATTTCTGTCACTTCTTCTTCCCTTGCCCCCTCACCACGCCCATGGTGCTGTTATACACTTTAGCTTAGCTAGATTGACAGTAAAATCCCTGTACAAATCTGTACTTACCGTGTTGTTTCCCTCTGAAGTCACGCACTGCCTGTTTCTCTGGTGTTGCCTTCGATTCAGTCTTCTAACATCCAGTCGGTGCTTCCTTATTAGCCATGAATACCGGTTACATTCTTCACTTCTAAAAGGGACAAGGCTAGTGCAGCTAGCTGTCATGTTGTGTATTGTACCTGCAGTTTTTGCGTTACCGTTCCTTTCACAAAACTGGAACCTTCGAATGAAAAGGATGTCCAACCAAACCTTTGTACCGCTCTTAGTATTCATCTCATACTGCAGGCAGTGAAGAACCTCTACTTCAGCGATGAATACGCACGCATTCCAACGAAGATCTATCAAGCTGCTTTCATTATAGTACCGAATTCCAACATATTCAGTGTGCATAGTCCGTTGCATAACGTTAGACGGTTAGGCCAGCGTGCCGGGAATTTCATTTTCCTGTTTAATGTTGTATTGGTAACCAACATTTTCACTAAAACGTCTATTATCAAGTGGAACTAAAACGAAAAGCTTGAACCGCAGCGGTGCAGATTTCTGGTGATCTTTCCACCGTCAAGACCTTAGCAAGATGTTAGCTGCATGATGGTGGCCATTTTCCAAGAGTTGGCGCCAAATTTTCATCAGACGCGGCCTGTGATTGGTCGATAATTAAGCTCAAATATTTCGCCGATACTTCACTTGCATTGAGCTCAATCGCAAAACTTTAAATACATTGATATTTATGAGATTAAAATAATAACATAATGAACCAGTCTGAGTCAGTTTTGTTCAACGATCATATTCATTGCTATAACAAATGTGATATTTAAAAAAAAAGAAAACCTAAAACATGAATGACGTCACGCTGTATTTACAATTTGTTTATCCTTCATTTTCACAGGTACTCATGTTGGGATAATCTCGAGCTAAAGACAGTCCAGAAAGATGTCATGAAAGAGCTACAATTCTTTCACGAAAATGGAGGTCGATCCATTGTGGATGCAACGACGATTGGGATTGGACGAAATCTGACAGAACTTGCCGAACTGTCCAAAGAAAGCGGAGTTAACATCATCGCCGGCGCCGGTACGTTGTCGACACACACAAATCAGGATTTGGGTCTTGGGTGGTATCTCCTTTCCTTGTTTATACATCTAAAGCATCCTTTATGCCCTCTTTGTTGATAACTTCTGGGGTGGATGTTTTCAACTCCACAAGCTTCCAAGTTCCTTGACGAGGGATTCTTACTGTGTTACCAAATGATGAGAGTGTTGTTTTGATGAATTGTGAATGATTTTTGCACTTTCCTCAAGAGTATTTATTTCTAGTTTATACTCTTCCCCCGTCCTCTCTGTTTATTCTGATTGCACAGGATATTATTTGGGGCACACTCATCCCCCGGAAATGAGCACCATGACCCAGGAAGAACTTGTCCAAGGCATGGTGCATGAGGTCACCACAGGAGCCGATGGAACCAAACTCAAATGCGGAGTCATTGGCGAGATTGGCTGCTCCACTGAGATATTGCGTAAGAAACTACGGAGACTAATTCGAGAAGACGCCATTGTACCGGGCGGCTTATCAAGCTTCAGATGCGTAAATTACAACACCCTATCCGGTTCTTCAGTGTGACGTCACTTCAATTTAAATCGGCGTGATTTCAATCACGCCGATGCACGTAGAGTTACACGGAACCGGAATTCAGTTAGCGCGGAACTTGAGTGCTCATCCAATGGGAGCTTGTAATGAGTGGTGCATGCGCGTGAATGACAAAGTCACTTACAAACCGAAATGGTCAAAGAGGTGTTCAACGCGCACGTACAGGCAGACCCTTTTGAGCGAGGTGAGTCGTTGTTGTGGGGTCGTTTGATCAGTCTTTATATGTAGCGTAATCTGTTTTCCTTTGTGGTAGAAATGTGCAGAATCAGCAGTGATTAAGCATAGATTGTGATGATTTTATTCAAGCAAAACTGCTTTAAAAAACCTGGCCCTACCACCATTTTTACAGAATGATGTTGCTTTTTTGTTTCTAATTTGTATTTTTTCCTGTCGTTGGTCAGCTAATGAGAGGAAAGTTCTTCAGGCTACAGCTGAAGCTCAATCCCAGCTAGGCTGTCCCGTCCTGATTCACCCAGGTAGACATCCCAAGTGTCCTGCTGATTGCCTCCGGGTGTTACAGGAAGCAGGGGGAGACAGCAGCAAGACCGTCATGTCTCATATTGACCGTGAGAACAGAACCATCGTCTTGTAGTAGATGACTTCTCAATTTGATCCCACTCTTTTAGCTGCATCTAAACAATACAATCGTCCTTACTGAAATAACCTCAATTAGTTATTGCTCTCTATGTAATGTGTGCAGATATCCACATTCAAAACCTGAGTTACAAGTAGATCAAACTCAAATAATCTATCTAAAAATTAAATCCTGATGCTTTCAGGCTTCTATTTCACAACATCCTCTTCCTGTACTTCACACTTCAGGATGTCTTTTCAACCGCGATCAAGTTCTTGAATTCGCGGAGATGGGTGCCCTCCTAGAATTCGACTTCTTTGGTACCGAGGTTTCGTACTATCAGTATGACGATACCTTGCCCTTACCTAGTGACATTCAACGGATCTGTCTCATCAAGATCCTGGTGGAAGAAGGTTACGGTGATAAAGTGGTCATTTCCCATGATCTACACCGGAAGATGCAACTGGTTCGTAAGACCCCTCCTTCGTAGGCATACACAAAATTTGCATGACAAAGGTGACAAGCTTAAATCATCTTGCGCTGAGACTGACTATAAACCACGAAGCACTGCAGAAGCGCTCGATCCAATCCAAGTGTATATTACAAAGTTAATAATGGAATCTCAAACTACCGTGAATAAGGCCTACGTAACAAATAAATACAACATAGAACATATCAACATATATTTTTGTAAGTAGTTATTTTGCAGGAACATTTTCATGTTATTTCGCTTTTTCCTCAGCACTGGTATATTGGTATACATGTACTGCATGCAACGGAATCTTCCAATCACGTTGGACTATGAGCAAAATGAAACGTTTGAAAGGAATTTGAACCCACTACCTGTGGAATGTTGTGCTGTTGCCTCACATCTACCCAACACAATCTCAAATTCTTGATTTGTTCCTCGCATTACCAGATGAATTATGGAGGTCACGGCTACTCTCACATCGTTCTCAACGTCCTGCCCAGAATGCTGACCAGTGGTTTGTCCGCAGACGTCATCGACAAGATCACCATAGATAACCCACGCAACTGGCTGACGTTCAAGTAAGACACCAGGGCGCATGGGCAGGTGGATACAATTAGCGTCTGATGCAATTTTACGAGACCGGGCCTTCTCCAGATCGACTGGCTACGGTTGATTATAACACACGCGTCAATGGAAAAAAAGCCGCAACCGCTAGCAAGCGACTCCTATATTATAATTTTTTTACAGCCGCAGCCACAATTTGTGGACAGATCTCGATGATTGTATGCATTAATCATAATTCCCAAATTTATTTCAATATACAAGGCACACCTGTAAGCCGGAGCCTTTTCTAACAAGTAAAGGGGAATTAACAAGCCCAAAAAGTTATCTTTAAGGCTATTGGAAAGAAAAACTGTTGTAATTGAAGGAGGGATGTCCACAGCTCAGATTTTACGAAGTCTCAATACAAGTTAAATATAGACGCAGAAACTTAAAAGCCTGACGTCTACATTATAAGGACATTTTGTAAATCCATTATAAAATTTGCAAAGTACCAATTATTTTTTTTGTAATTAGTAAGCAAGTAAAGTGACCCAAACAACCAGTTGTATTCATTTTAGTCAGTAAGCACAATGAGGCACTACAGGGTTAAAAGCATTCAATGTCATTGACATTTTGCTAATACATAAAGTAAGCAAGAGTAATTATTGAATTATTAATAACTCTGTTAAATATAACAGTCGCATCGAACGAGTAAAGGATTACTGTATGAATTATGATTTATTCTGAAATGCACTCATTACGTATAATTATACCATTAATGTAGTTTGACAAGAGAATGAAGCTGTGCTACCGTCACTCGTTGTAAATCTGAATTTTCTAAAGATGACTACACAAATTTTGGGTTTCTTTAGTGATGACTGCAGAAGCATCTATAAACCATAAATAGAATTTACACTTTCAAAGACCAGCTCGGGTGGCATTGACGTAGCATGGCATAGTGAAAGCTGTCCTGCCCAGACCGATTGACAGTCCTGTGCCCAACAAAATGAAGACCATGAGACAAGGAGTTGCGCCAATGATGACAAAGCAGACAGCTGTTTCAAGCGTGAACCATTTTCTGAAATGGCAAACAGAAAGCGCGAAATGGTAAGGTTTCTTAGAATTGACTTAGTCTTTTTAAAAAAGTACAACACTTGAGCTCTACCAGAAAGTGTATAGGTAACATTTAAAACACTCTTGTATTTTGCCTGTCCTAAAATTGCATTAGGAAAATAATACATGTACATGTAATTGGAAAGAAAAACGGCTCGATGGGGAGAGGGTCAAAGATACTTACGAGGGCTGGCTCTGACATTTCTTTGTCAGGCGTAAATAACAAAGGCAAGGAATTAGCAGCGAAAGAAGAGGATTCAAAAGGCCACCAGAAATGGAAGCCAAGAGGGTGAAGTGGGGTACTGTCTCTTGAATGAAAACCTGGGCAATGATGATTGAAGATCGAAGAATTACTCGCTTCCAAGTAAATTCTAAGTAAAGAGAAAGTGGAATGTCAATGTAAACATGCACTTTCTTATGCTCTCATACTCCCAAATTCAATTCAAAATGAAATAAAATCCAACCAACTAATGAAAATGTGCCCTGGCGCTTGTTACATCCATCGCGAACTTGTAATGAAGTCAGGTTTCCTATCTGTTTTGGATCGGGCCCACTTCAATTCTAGCAGCCTTTATCTTTATGAATAATTTGAGCCTGCTCTCAGACATTGATTGTTATAGAGAAAAGCTGTAGATGCTGTCTAGACTGAATTATAATTCTTTTGGAAACAGCGTCAGCCGACAGAGCTTACGGCAGTACAAACATCTATAACGCCAATGTATTGAACGCCAGAAGAGTAACATTACGTGATATTACATGTACAAATAAATCCGTGAGTAATGTTGTTTAGAGAGAGAGGGGAAGCGCTTACCCTTCGGTATATCAAGAACCTCCTCCAAGTATTGGAAGAGAGGGTTGTTTACAAACAAGACAACTCCAGTCTGATGGACTAAAATAAGAAGTGCAGCCGTCTTCTTCAGACTATCATCCGGTAGCAAAGAGAAGACAATTGCTGTCCCTGTTACATTTGTCAGCGCGTTCCCGAAAACAGTAAGCAAGGACAACATGACCACCAGCACGGCAGGGAGTGTCACTGTAATGATCGACAGCAGCACGTCTATGTTACGTGGGCATATCAATTACTACATTTCGATGGGGGCGTGGCGAAGAATTGGAAATTTCTCTCATGTGTGTGTTGTGTTGCAATCAACAGACTTCATATGACAACTTTCTACTTGGTCGTGGTTGTATATTGGGGGAGGGGAAGAGAATGGGGGGGGGGGTAAATATCCTCTTCCAACTGTGGATATGCAAGGATGGAGCATATATGATTCCCCTGCCGCTTATTTTGCTGTGAGAAACCTGAATTGTGGATTTAAGGGTCATTCTGAACTTTCCAGCGGTCTAAATTCAATTCCCTCCCTCTCCCTACTCCCCAATTTGTCCGCACGGATTTACGCCATTGATACATACTGGTCGAAAAGTTGACTCTAGAAGCTGTTTCCCGGGGTTCAATGAAAATGGGAAAAGATATCAAACTGATACTTGGACTTACTGAAGTTCGCGAGAATAAGGGCTTTAGTGAGAGCCTGCGGCTGTTGCATGTCTTGCTGCACAGTTAGTAAAGTGCTGTGCAGGCTTAATACCCACAGGACGGTTCCAGTTGCTTCACTAAGATGTAGAAGTTTGCTCTCATGAAACTCAGAATGTGTGGCGTTAGCGTGGTCACTTATAGAATCGCTAATCAGGAATGTGGAAATGGTGACAAAAATCATGGACAGGCTGCAGGTGAATAAGCTGGCTGCCAATAACAACCTGTTGGACGGCGCAGAAAAAAAGGTTTTTTTGAATTGCAAACTTAGCAAAGTAACACTACCAGCCCAAACTATAACGGGATCGACATTTCTCTCATTTCTTTCCTGCTTTTTTCGGTAACCGTCATTTTTCCTGAACAATATGCAGATAATAAGAACTCATTCAGAAAAACAAGAACAATTCATTCAGCATTGTCATCGTAACCATGACTTCGTTTTTAGTGCGCGATTTGGATCCTGCGTTGAATGTATTGTAGGAAATGAGTGTTCATTGGAAATTGGTTGCGTATGCAGGCACATACTTTAATTGTGATGTCAAATTTCCCACAAAGTCTTATCCATTTTGAGCCAGTTGCCAGATATACTGGAGAAAATGAATGTTATTTTAACATTCCAGGTTTGCAGGGAATAGGATCTGACGCACCAGAAATTCTTGGGTGTACCAAGCCACACAAAGGGGCAAATGATGAGCCCGTAAACAAGCGGCCAGAAGCATAGGGTGCCTTCAAGTACCATGCCCCCAATAGTCAATGTCATTTCCGTGAAGCCCATCAAGACTGGGATGGTGTTAGTAAAACACACTAACGCCACTAGAAAGTTGATGAAACGTCTGCAAAAAAACAAAACAAAAAACAAAACAAAAAAACCCACCATTTATAATGACTGAAATCTAAGTGGAAAAATGAAATTCATTTTTTTCCCTTGTGTTGGGCTTGGGTTGTTGATGTTTGCATTTGATCAATTCAATTTAAATAATCAGCAGACTTTTGCACACTTCTTCGAAATACTAAACAGTTATTTTGTCCAAATTCGGAAATCTCTTTTGTCTCCAAGTTTCTGAAAACGTCCTACCGGGCCCAGACACCAAACGCCTCCTCGCCTACCGCACCGTATGGATGTCTCTCTTGGTCCCACTTCAACCGTACCATATTCCAGCAGCGTCCAAGGAGTATTGCCGTGTATATCATAGCAGAACACACAAACGAGAAGAGAATGAAACCAATCCAGCCTGAATATGAAAGGAAATCAGGTAGATAAATATTCACGGTAAGACCTTGATACATATCTTTTACTTTAACAGTTTCTAGACAACTCCATGCTCTCATATCATGACTAGTAGTTACATACTTCTTGGAATAACTCGCTGAATTCCGTAAAAACAACGTCGATTTGGCTAGATTACACAGGTTCTTTAAAATAATCAGCTTTATGAAATTATATACCCCAAGCAAGACAAGCAAACAGATAACCTTTTTCCAATTACTCTTTATACGTAGCTTTGACAAAATATTAATGTTTGGCAAGGCACATGGACTTAAAAATACTAAGGTCTGAAATTCTTGTTATCGCATCTGTGGTACAGATGACAACAGGATGTGTGTAATTATGAAATGTCAAGGGTCAACTCTGACGTCACTCACCCGTACTGACAACAAGAACAACGATGGCTAAGAAACCTAACCCAGCCATACCACCTGCCAAGGAAACAGCCGTCTGCCAAACATTGATACCATTTGCCTGCGTGTTAAAATTATGAAATACAGAAAGACAACATGATGTGAGTAGTTCTTGGTTGGTTCTGATCAAACAAAACCGTCAACCCAGCCTATCCCAACCAAGTCACGAATGTCTTGCCTACATTCATTACAGAAGGCTAAATCTAAGCCTACAAACTCATCAAAGAAAAATAGACAGACAGAAGTCAGAACATGCATGCCCACCTGGCAGACAAATCAATCAAGATGTTTTAATGTGCCCTGGGACGCGTTCCAAATTTCAAACCCACACGGTTACAGGGACAGACTATTCCGTTGAGTCCAAGCCACCGTTTTGTAAACAGCCCATTAGGTTGTGCACAAGGGAATAATTAGTACACAGTCCTATGGGAATTGCCTGGAGGCTGGCTCAAGGTCGTCTGGGTTTTTTGCATTTATTCTGGCTAGGGGAGGCCCTGGCTGTAAAATGACTAAACCAGGCTTTTCAGCATGTTCAGGGTGGGATATGATAAGTAGTCGTGGAATTTGGACTTAAAAAATAATAATATGTTAATTAGCTCCAATGGACTCGCCAGGGGAGGCCACCCTCTCCACCCAGGGTTAAAATTTTGATAAAACTTAATTGCAAAATGTTTTAATGAACGAACCTACTGTTCCAAAATTACAATTTACCTGGAGCAGCTCTTCGTCAGTGTCCTGATTTCCTGATGTATTCTCAGCGCTTCCGCGGCTTGACATCTCATGAAGTACAAGTTTGTCCCGGTCTGAGTCAGGCATTTTGCTAATCTCCATTTAAAAAAAAAATCCACAAATGAAGAAAGTATAATATCAAAATAGGCCTTCCCATCTGGAAACAGGGAGTGGGGGTTCCGACCCCTTCCTCTGCACATTGCAATTTTTTTAAAATCGATTTTTAAAGGCCTCCGTCTAAAAGTTGGAAGACCCTACAAAATAATAATCCAAGCACGAGGTCATATCCATTGGATTAACCAAACACAGATCCTGTTCACAGATAGGCCTACACTGTACATGTGTATTGTGTGTACATTTCAATTCTCTAGTAATCATTTGTACACTCAGAATCGTGTACTGTACACGTATACTCTCAAATGGTACATGCGCCATACTTTTTCCCATACAGATACACAGAAAGACCTACACAACAGGTTAGAACTGGAGAGGTGAGGGGATATTTAGAACAAGGAACCACACAGCAACATTGTGTTTACTAAGCTACTGTAAAACGGTAATAATTTAATGTAGAAATGATGACCTACCTATGGAGATCCAAGTCTAGTCTGCAGTATAAAATGATCTGAATGTACTCGTACTACGACAAGCGAAATGAGCATAACAGCAAACGGGATAGGTTGAATGCCACTGTGAATTCACAATGTCGTACATTTTGTATGCATCAGTGACCAGCAGAGCATAAATAGATTCCCGTTTCAGCTGACAGAAAAAGAGTCAGCGTGCGATTTACCGGCAACCATTAACCCTAACAGTCCCAATTCCTCCGATTTCAATATGATTTTACATACACCCTAGGGAGTTAGGGTTAATGAACAAAATAATAGACTGACAAAAACATTCAAATGAAACGGTAAAGATGTAATGCACTTCTGCGTCAGCTTCAACAGGTATTTTCCCTTCAGTAGTTTTGGTTGAAAAGACCCCTACAATTGGTTTAACCAATTGTAGGTCCCTTCGCAGTTTGGTCTAACAAAGACCAGGCACTGACAATAAATGTCCCTTAAAAAGACCAATGTGAGTGCTTGCTGCTCGTTGACTATTCCGGTGGTTTATTGCAAAACCTGAGCGTCAGTAGTCTCGTTGTGCTGACACGAAAATCACCACCGACGACATCTTGTTTAATTCTTTTATTTGGGAAGAGCGTAATTTCGCTCAGAAAACGAATAATGCTCTACATTACTAAGACTCGGTACTGTGCTTACATAATGACCGTTTCTGATGCGTCTCAACTTGAAAACTTAAATCATTTCCCTAAACTTGACCAAATCCTAGATAACATAATGTCCTGGGGAAATTACTGGTATGCAAACCATAACTCGGAACAAAGGCTCAGTCATTGAAGGGCCAAGGCCAAGACTACGGCTTTGACACTCAAAGCCAAGTTCAAGGCAAGGCTCATACAACATGACAATAAAGCTTTAAAAATCATTGCCCAGGCTATAAGGCCAAGACGTTGACCGTCAATGTCAAGGCTTTGTTCCTCAAGTCTACGACTAAGGCAAATTAAGGCTTCAACCCTTCAAGGCCTACAAAAGCTTCGAGGCCAAAATTACAAGGCTATAAGGCCAAGACGTTGACCGTCAATGTCAAGGCTTTGTTCCTCAAGTCTACGACTAAGGCAAATTAAGGCTTCAACCCTTCAAGGCCTACAAAAGCTTCGAGGCCAAAATTACAAGGTTGAAAGGCCCATTCAGTCTCATAGTCTTGGCCAACTCAAAGCCAAAACTAACACCCTACAACAACTTCTCAACATTAGTTTGTCTGAGAACAAAAGAGGATGAAACAATTACCATCTGTTGAGCACTTAGTGTCGCCCTCTACAGTCTGACTTGGTGATTTATGCAAATCAGGGAGCTAAGGGATCATGTCCTTAAATGTGATTTTCTTTGCCATGGGTGGTCTTGAACCACTGAGCTTGCATGTTATGTGTTACAAATTCGCATGTCGCACACTCCTATAAAGAGAGTATAAAAACGTCAATTCGATAGTTTTTTTATCTGTACGTAAACAAAACATACTTGATTGAGGCCTCCGGTTTACGCAATTCACACACTGTGCCGGGGTGAGAAGTTCATACAGTGTAATCAGACTAGGGGTCGAATAAAGTTCATATGTATATAGTTATCAATATTATCTGATCGATTATTTACACTATCAAAGTGCATGCTACAAATAGGCCACTGACGCATTGCATAAACACCTGCCTTTGATGTGGTTAAGGATGATGTTTCAGTGGGGTGATGTTTGGGGCGATGCTTTTTTTAGCTTGACAGTTATCATTTACTAGCTCTACTCGAAACCGAGATGACGTGGGCGTTTCGTTTCTTGCTCCTGGGGCTCGGCTCCGCAGGGTTCACTCTTCAAATCTACAAATACTGCCTAACCACTGACACTAATGGTATTTGGAAAGTAGCAGCAGGTAGGGGGCAATGTGTGATGTTTCAGTTAGCTCTATTAAAGGCGTGGAGTTTTCTGTTACTGTTCCACTTTCACTTAGTTCTTCATTCCGCGTGCAAATTGGCTTCTCCAGGGAAGGTATCTAGGAGTGTATCTACAAAGGGACTGCCGATGGGTACAAGAGAAAATTTACATACTAAACTCGTTCTATTTGTTTTTTGGTACAGTTTTCTTGACGTTCCTGGGCGCTGTCTTTTCACTCGTGAACTTCCACATTTCCAGCCTGAGATGTTCTGAGAGTCATACTTTACGCAGCCTTCTGGTAAGCTACGTTTGTCAAAACCTGACACGCCTGGCTTATCCATTCGTCCTGTATAAAGTATCCAAGCAATGGAAGAAACCGAGGGAAGCACAGAAACATCGACTGCGTCTACTTACCACCAGAGATGCAGAAACAGAGTATGGAAGGAGATACCAACTTGGACAGATCAAGACACTTAAAGACCTACAGAGCAAGCATCCTATCACGACATACGACCACTACAGACCGTACGTCCAGAGACTGGCAGACGGGGAGGAAGGCGTTTTCATCGGGGAGAAGATCCACAGGTTTGGTATCACATCAGGGACTACAGGCGCAGGTAAGCTCATCCCCTTGACCAATGAAATATACGACGACAATGATGTGACTGTACTGAACACAAAAGCCACTGACAGCGCCTTCGGACGACCGAGTCCTCTGCAGCGAGGATGCATTCTTTACTGCAAGCCAGCATCATTTGTGGCAAAGTCAGGCCTGGATGTGGCACCTCTAATATACTTCATGGAGAAGGACAAAGATATCCTGACTATCTTGCAGAACGCGCCGTTTGCAGCCTTCCAAATTACGACCGATTTCGAAGCCAACTACGTCCATCTCCTCTTTGGCATTGCGGACAGATACCTTCATTTTGTGTACGGCGGGTTCACGTCAATTACTTACCGGGCATTTCGGCTTCTAGAGGACAACTGGGAGCAGATGCTTCAGGACTTGGCAACAGGAACACTGAATCCGAAGCTCAACATCGAGGACGAAATCAGGCATCAACTAGAAGAGGCGCTTGTACCAGCTCCAGCCCGTGCTGATCAGCTAAGGGTCGAGTTCTCCAGGGGTTTCCATGGTATTGTGTCGAGGATCTGGCCTTTTCTGCACTACATCTTTTGCGTTGACGTAGCTGGCTACGGCAACAAACTTCGAGAAGGTTACGCCAAAGGTGAGGACACCAACCATTTTTTATTAATTGAAAGTCCTGAGCAAAAGTTCAATTGCCTAAATATTGTAGTTTCTTGTAATTCCTTCAAGGAACACCAATCTTTACTGGAGCTTATGGTTGTACAGAAGCTCTGCTTGGCATCAATCTCTGGGCTGACGAAGACCCCAAGTATGTGCTGGTACCAGCTAAAGTCGTGTACGAGTTCATCCCTGAAGAAATATGGTAATTCTGACATAAGTTCAAACTTTTTGCAATTTACATTAACGCTAATTTCAGACTGAATGAACTAAAACTGAATAAAGGACTACAGTTGAGGCTAATAATTATTTACTTTACCCTAAATTAGCCAGGAAAAGCACCCTTCGCAAATCTACCTCATCGACGAAGTTGAGGTTGGTAAGAGATATGAACTCATGGTGACGGTTCCGTGTGGTTTCTTCCGCTATCGCTTTGGTGATGTGGTGGAAGTGGTGGACCTATATTACAACTGTCCTGTCATTCAAATGAGATATCGGTAAGCGACTAAATCTCATTCTGCATGTATACGTACCCAAGTTTTGAAGTAAGTTCTACATTGACGGCCAAAGCCGGGCTCTATGTTGAAAATATGGCATTATTGAGAAAATCTCCTAAAACTGTCTTCTAGTTTTTTCCACCTTTCTTCCTGCTTCACAGAACAGGAGAACTGCTGAATCTTCGCGGCGAGAAAATTGATATCAGCTTGCTTTCCACTGTCATATGGCAAACCGTGGCTAGTTGGCAACAATGTACACTCGTGGATTGGACATGCGCAGAGAGTCCACTGATACACGCGGACAAGGGTAAGCTAAGTCACTGAAGTCTTTGGGTCTGATTGATTTACAGTTATCTCCAAAGGAGAGAAAGTTAATCATGGGTCTTTGTGCATCTCTAGTTCCGTATGATATGCACTACCTGATCTTCGTGGAGGTTGAGGCAAAGAAAGGACAGTGTCTTACCGAAGAAGAGAAGTCACAGGTAAGTATCACAGACCGTCCTTTGTCAAATTTTAGGGGAAAGCAGACACAAGTGGGTAAAAAGAGGGGAAAGCAGCCGATAAAATGAGCAAATATGATTAAGAACCTGCGAGCTTGCAAAATAATCACTCGGTTCATTATGACATCAAGATAGTAAGCCAGGCTATTATACAATCACCAACATTGAAAAGAAAATACAACTCATAAACCCTAAATCAAGCTAATAAAAGCAAGTCTCAAAGACCAGATAAATTTTCAATCATCTGGTGTCCAAACTTAACATTTTAAGGATTATTTTCGGTAATGATTAAACCTCAGACTTTCTCATATCCTACCATACAAGCTACTGTAAATGCTCTTGAGAAAGAAATTAAAAAACGACTTCATTCACTACATCACCATTACAGACGAAGAAATAAGCGTGACCATTTTTTATTTCATCAGTTTGACCAGCTACTTCGAAAGTGCCATGGGTTGTACGATCATTACAGAACAGCGGGCAACATTGCTGCACCGCGCGTATTCAATGTGTGCCCAGGCTCGTTCAAGAAGTTTCAAGACTATGTAATTGCCAAAACGACAGCCTCATACAACCAGTTTAAGATGCCTCGGAAACTCCACAGAAAGGAGCTCCTGGACTACATGATGAGTATGACGACTGAATACAGAGAACCTTTCTAGAACTGCTGATGTGGAGAGATAAGATTGATCGATTTTGAAATCTATACACGTACATGTAAAATCGCGTCAACACTTGCGCCAAGCATTGCGTATCCCTCAAAATCACTTCCGGGGAGACCAAAAACGCTTCCGGCGCGATTTTGACAGCCAAACGCAATGCACACGTTTGTTATGTTAATGAGTCGATTTGTGTGTCTGTGAAGTGCATGAACACATCGCGTCGAAAGGCGTCCAATAGCAGATTGGATAGTTATCTCCGGATCCCAGCAATAGCTGGGATCCGGAGATAACTATCGCGAATTATAACTTCATGTACACCTGTACATCACTATTATTATTATTATATAACAGGACATGTGGCAGTCAATTAAAGGTTGAAATTTTGAAACGAAAAAACTGTCAACAAAATAGAATCGCGAAAGTATAATATGTAAATTTATGTAAATGTCTTAATTTGCTTTGAAAATGGATGTACACGTACAGCTGAAATAGATTCTCAACGGCTATTTGTGGTGGTTGAAGTGTGCCGTGTTCAAAGTTTATATACACGTCAAGTATATATATGAAAGTTCACGCGGTAATAAATATTGACTGTAAATTGTTTAGTGACAAGCTCAGCGTTAATAGATTTGATGACGTACCCATCTCAAGCAAGGCATACCGATCAAGCAGGTTTTCCAGTGGAGTATGGTTTACAAGTTTGGACAAGGGCAAGCCTCTTTACAATGCAGTATCTGCTGAACGGAATTTGATTGCAAGAAATTGCTTGCCTCGAATTGATTTAATATGTCCTTTTTTCGAAATAAAAGCTATAAAACACTTTTATCGATGTTTATATATTAAGAATCCTAAATAAAACTGTTACAATTATTTAATGGCTCTGTCCAAGAGGACTCCTTTTAAGGAAGAAAATCAAATAGACAACCTAAGGACAACAAACATTTTGCAGCATCACTCGGACATTTCAAATGAAAACACAGATAAGGAGAATTGCATATTGTTATACATTTTTGAGAACCTAATTCCATCGTCACAGAGGCAAAATTTATTGCCCGCTAGAGAGGGAATATGGTGTAGAATGCATAGTGTAATTACCAAAAGTCTGCAGTCTGCAGAATCCAGGGTTAGGTACGCTCGACTGGTTTCATAACAACACTATCTCACAGGTTAAAAGGTTGTTTTCATTCCAGGGAACATTTTTGTTGTTGATCTATTCATAAAGGGCTGGACTTTATCCCCATGACATAACCATGATACCAATGGATATCAGACTCATATATGGACCAAACAAATTAGAGTTTAATAATTCATTGTCTATATCTTTATTAAATTGGTTGTTTTGTATTAGTATTTTGGCTAAAGCAATTACAAAATTAAACCAATTATTTCTCATGCAATCTCAGTATTGATACAAAGTTGGTGAAGAAAAATTCAGAAGGTAACCGTAACGTTTATCTTTAGTTTTTGCCATTTGTACAAAATTATAATCTTTTATCGTGACGTCAAATCTTTTCGGGTCTAGCGTCTTCCAGTTTTTACATGTATGCTTAAGCATTTAATATATTCCAAATATCAATGTAAGACTTGCTTATAAAGCTCAATAAAATTAAATTAAATTCAGTTAGTCAATGGATTTTGTCGTTTGGTATTGGACTAATCAATTATTTTCAACACATCATGGAACAACTTGTTTGGAATGACACTCCACATTTCTTAGAGTTGTTGGGTTTCTATTTATCCATAGTTCAACGTGTTTACCAGGCTCAGTTTTTTTTCTCGATTTACCAGCAGAGGAAGCAGTTTGGCAGCAAGCCAACTGGCCAGTTTGTGAACAGGTGGAACAATCCACCTGCTGGAAGATAACCAGTCGACAAGCTGGGTCCAAGAATATCTGCAAGTCCACAAGTTTGTCAACAGACGAACTTCTAAGGTGTTTGCCAATACAGATTGTAGATTAAAGGGGGGGGGGTAAGGGGTGGGGCAACATAAAGTTTATCCCATCCGAAAAAAACTCCAGGAATAGATTCTAAAACTGGAACTAGCTAAATTGTTCGGATGAGGGCGCTCTTGAAAAAAAAAAGAACACATCTGCATGACACACAGAATGATCTGTCCAAAAAGAAAAAATTGAAACAAAAAATTGTTTAGATAATAAACCAGCAGATGACTAAGGAAAGAACCAAAAGATATGGCAATGTACTTCAAACTTTGTACATGGCTTACAAACAGCACATAATTACTTTTTGGTGTTACCATAATTTCTCAAGAATAAAACTATTAATACTTCTCAGAAATAAGAATTAAATGTTAATAGTAATACAGGTGCACATGTATTATACTGACACTGGCCCAGGAAAAAATAAATAAACAGAGTTTAGTAATAGATACAGTTGGTATAATGTAAACCAAAATCATTCAGTCCTGTCGCTGTATTCCAGATACATTAACTAACGAGGGAAAGAACATACTAGAAGTGCATACTTGGGCGAATTTTGGCGGTCTTAACCAAGAACTGGTTCCCCTGTAATTCTTCAGAGATTTTCTTGGGTAATTTTATTTGGGTAAGAATGAACCGTGATTATGTAATACTCAAACCCTTAAAGCGATTAACAAAAGAGAAACAACCGAAGCAGTTCTTGGTTATGACCACAAAAACATGCACATGATGAGTTATTATACTGGTTGAAGAGAGGGCGCAATTTTCCCAGCAACAGAAGTTTCTTTGGTGGTTAACCGCACTTCCCGGGCTCACAAATGACTATGCACGCTTTACAGTCACATGGCCAATAACAAAATGAACTCTCCCCACCAGCACGGCTCTTTTCAAACAATTAAAGAACTCTCCCAACAGCAACATGGCTCTCTTCAACCTATGAGTGAACTCTTTCCACACCAACATGGCTCTTTTCAATCGATGAGGGGGTGCTTCTGCTCAAAGCCGATACCAGGGAGATGGGTCACTCTGACACCAGCAGAGGCAATATCTTGATATCAAGCAAGACTTTTTAGCAAAAAATAAAAGGGGGTTTCGTCATTTAGATAGGTTCTTGTAAAACCCAGGACAGACGTAAACCACAATGTTATCCATTCAAAGCAGAAACTAACCCAGTGTAACAAATGCATCTCTGCAAAAGGAACTCTGATGTGGCCCATTAAAGTACTGGTCTTCCCTCAAGTCACCAACGAATAACAATTAAGAATGACCAATTTGTCATACAGCAATACAATTCAAAACATCCAAAGTTGGAGGCATAAAAACCAAATTAACATTCTATTTCACTTTAAATAATAGACATCAGTTATTTCCTGCAGATATTTTGATATTTCAACTGACTGATATTGTAGCTTGGTTATTACTGGCAGTTTTTTTGCACCTGTTTCCCTTTCAATTTACAACTTTGGAATTAGTATCTTAACCACAATTGCCCTCACTTACGCTGTAAAACAATATTTATAGTGTTTTTTTTATACATACAAGTTCATTTTCTTGTTTCTTTAAACTCTGTACTATGAACAAGAAGTATTTTCAGAGGTACATTTACATACATGTACAATCAACTCTCGGTAACACAAGCTCGGGTAAGATGAGACTCAAGTTTAGATGCGCACATTTTGCCAGTTCGACTGAGTTGTGCACATTCCTATACGGGAACAAATGCATACTACTAGCTCGGGTGTTACAAGATTTCAGTTAAGACGAGCAGTTTTTGTACATTTATACTGTAGTTGAAAAACTGATGGTATCCGATGCAAAGGACATCTTGACAGACATGTACAGGGCTGGACTCTGTCTGTCAATTGGGGGTGGTGTTCACTGTTGAAAGACACCTAAACTTTTACTTCATTACTCGCCAGTACAGAGAGCGTCAGACTTCTTAAGACGGTCCATTCATTGGTGACTCGTGACTCGATTCACCTCTCTATTTAAAATGAAACCAAAGATACTGCAATCTTTCCACAGCAGTGAAGTTGGCAGGTGTCAAGACAACATGAGAAAAGTGAAGGTAGGAAAATTTCAGACAAGTAACTGCGAGTCAAACATTGAATCCACTGTAACAGGTATGGCATGAAAAACCAAACCATATGGCATCACGGCTAGGATTCTTAACAGGGTAATAGATGAGGAAGCAGAAGGACATATCACTGTACTCACCTAACTCAACTGGGTATCTTATGTCCAATGTCATTTTGACTGGCTTTATCTGCGACTGACGGCTGGCAGGAGCGAACAATCTCGTCAATGTTTTCTTCATTGATCTCCAGAAACACCTTACGCTGCCTGCTAAACCAGTAGATCTTGTCGATAGCAATGTCATACCACATGCCATGGAGTGACAGGGAGCCATCAATGACTCGACGCCGAATGGAATGATAGGATGACAGATGTTCTAATTGTTGGAGGACACTGACCTGTGAAAGGGCAACACAGATCGGTCAGTTATTGC